GATGCAGCAAGGGGTTGCACTCCAGTGTGGCTCGTTCACCTACCCAAGTTCAAAGTTCATTGGGTCTCGCCCAAATCCAATCCGTGGTGGGTGCTGTGCTGTGCTGTGCGCCCGTGTGTTTCTTTTAGCAGCCATTGGACCGAGCCAGATTGCATAAATTAAATATCCCACTGTGCTACTTTAGAGGGTTCCATTTTGTGCTTGGTTTTATTTGCCAAATGAAGCACACCGCCGAAAGACATGATACACTTAATTTATTCATTCATTTATTCGTTCGTTCGTTCGTCCGTTTCTGCGGAGACTCGCGACGCGGAGAAGCAGCGGCGGCAGAGATCGCTCGCTCGTCTCCCATTGTATCGGCCACTGAGATTGACGAGGATCCCTACACAGTGGAAACCTGGGTGGGTGTGGGGGGGGTGGAGCTAGGTGCATGGAGGATGAAAGCACAGTGCAACAAACGCAATTTGCTTCGTGAAAGTCCGAGTCGCGTGCGAATATAGAATTAATTCTTTGATCTTAACGTCGTGGTGAATGTAGCCGTCTCTAGGGGCAGCAGACATCGTGTACACCCATTGCATTTAACGTTACACAAATTTAAACACGTGGGCATTTCAGAGTGTAATCATCGATAATAAATCATGAGTCTCGAGACTCCTTTCACCAGGGTCCTCCAGAATGATGTTTGGCCGATTCTTTATTGAGAATTTTTTTTTTTAATGTGCAGCATAGAATCTTTGGCAACCACGGTTCGAGCCGCAATAACGCACGGATGATGGGCGACAGTGTATGCCAGGTTGCCAAGGGCACCTGTGGTGGTGGGGGGGGGGGTGGGCGCGGGGAGGGCTGTGTTACGCTGTGAGCAGCAAAGAACAATGCAGGAAAGACGTTGTTGTTGTGCGGTGCTTCATTGCTCACACGTCCGTGCTCACCCCGCCGTCACCGCTTTGCAATAGCCCGCATGGCGGAGTATGGTCGAATAACACCCTGGAGGAATCCGATGAGAAACGTCGTGTTCTTTTTTTGATTTTTATTTTTTAGATCTACGTGACTTTACCGAAGGAACCAGAGAGTATGGATTCCTGCAGTCACGAAAGCTTCAATTGAAGACTGATGTGAATTAATCGTCTAAATCCTCGCCTAAAAAAGAGAAAGGCCCCTTTGCCCGCCGTGACGTGGGCGCAATTTGCGGGGAGAGGCTTTCGCTTTAACTGTATGCTCAGCCAACCCTCTAAGAATGCAGAGAGCATCCTCCTCCGCGTAGACGCACGGCAGAACCGGCGAGGGTGTGCGTGTCTCGGCCCACAAAATAATCGCACGCGTGCAAAATTACCGTGACTCACGCGCACGGTAATCGCAGGCGGCGCCCTGATTTCAGCAAAGGCGAATTGTGCCAGAATGCACGGTAACATTATTTCGTTCGAAACTCTGCTGTCAGTTGGCAAACAAAGATTAAAATTCAGCTCATGGCCTTTATGAGCCACCGTGTGCGTTGTGCATTCTGCCACTTTATTACATAAAATTACAAATATTTAAAGCAGTTGAAGAACGTCCTTACTTTTTTCTAACTGGATAGCTTTATAAAGTATTTGCTTCATGACTACGCCGTATGCTGTTTTTTTTATACGCTGTTCCTTTAATGCAACTCGTGCCAAGCTATTCTAAAACAAGTGGAATAATTAATGCTATTCCTCGAGCAAATTATACTCTAAAATGCAATTGATTTTAAGACAGACTCTGTGATAAAACTACTCCACTTCAATATATTATTACAACGCTTCAAGTGCAACGTGGGTGCAATGCACTCGGGCAAACCTGCATTGGGTCAGACGGGTAGTGTTTTAAATGGCTTTGTCTCCTATGACTGGAGTCTACCCAAAGGATCTGACACTGAGAACCAGGGAACCAGGAATGTGGCAACCTTAGTTTGAAGTAGGGCTCTACATTTGGATGTTTGGCCATACTGAGCGGTGGTGGCTTTGCACACGGCCTGTATCCAGGACTTTGGAGGCAATCGTTGATGGATCGCACAAATGTCGTGAAACGCCACAATCCATCCAGATCCTTCACATGAGATCATCCCATCGCTCCATCTCCATCGTGGTCACCTCTTGGGCAGATTACGTATTTTGGCTGGTATTCCATCACCAGCCTTGACCATCATCCCTTCTAGCAATGTGTTCTGCCCAAACCCACTTTCCTTCAGTCAACATGACATCTCTGATTTGCATTTGCTCTCTGGTCCATGCTTTTCTCTTTCTGTCTCTCAGCGGAATCCCTGGTACACCACCACTCTATGCTTCTTTGCACAATATGCATTTGTATTCAGTGTTATATACCAGTATCTATATAAATCATCCATGCACTCGACTGAAAAATTAGTTTTTTACCCACATTGATATATTGCTTTTCACTTTTAAGTTAATTGTCTCAATTTTGACTCCGATCCATCTTCAATCATTGCTCATGGTATTTTCTTGTGATCGCAAACAATTGTCACGCACACACGCACATGTAAGGTAAAGGTACAGCCCTACAACTGCTTGCTCACAACCCTGACTGGCGGTAGAACCTCTCTACAAGTGCGTATAGTTGGCATCCTGTTCCACGCCCGGCCAATTTCTTTGGAAGAAAAATGCATTGCAATGGAATATCCATACTGCGTTTTTTTTTTTCAGCGTGGCTTAGCAATGGAAGCGTTTATGTAGACAACCCGCTGCTTATTCCATCTCACCGACTGACATTTTTTTTGTTAAACCGCTGCTGCATCAGATTCTGGTTCCAGGCTAGAAGGTAATTAAAGTCGCTCTTGATATCTACTACGATCTGTGCAGCAAAGGGCAGCAGATAACTGACAGGGTTGACGTTTGACGTCATTGCAGTATCCCTGTCCTGTGCACAACATTGCAGTCCGTCCAAAACCTCGATACATCCTTGCAGACTGAGTCTGTTCGGGAATTGTGCATTGCTATATTGAAATGTTATTCAAGTGGAGTTGGCATGACTCTGGCGCATTGTGGTATATCAGATATGAATGCAGAGAACACTGACACTAATTACTGTAGAAAGTTATTTTTTTATCATCATATCATCGGCAATTGTCTATCCACTGCTGGATGAAGGCCTTTGCCAAGCCGTTTCCATCTCTCAAGGTCATGTGATGGTACGTCATGATCCCCCCCATGCCGAGCCGATTGCATCGCTCAATTTCCACGATGGACATCCACTTGGGCGTGTTCCCTGATTTTGGATGCAGCTCCGTCATTAGTCTCGACCACCGTGATGACATCATCATCATCCCTCGTTACATATCCGTGGCCTGGCCTGCCGAAGTCCACTCATGGTCCTTACTGTCCTTACCTCGTCTCCCCCACACTTCATCTTACTCAAGCACATGGACTGAACTTGGTATAGCAGTGGCATGAAGGAACATTGTTTTTATTCAGCCAAATAACAGCTGAGCTTTTTTTAAATAGGGCACTTGATGAAAAATGGCTGTACTACAAATAGCCCTTGGGTAGTCATATGACATATATCTATGACTTGATTGGAAGTTTCCATCTCGGTTGCCTACTAGAGAAAGACCAATCAGCTTTGTCCAGTTTTGGACAACATATTTCTTACAATATATAACTAATGCGGTAACTGTTGCCGATGACGATTTCTGGCAATAATTGTCCTGAAATAGGCTCCGAGTGCATCATGCCTTTTACAGGCACTTAGTGGAGTGCAAAGGTGATAGCGTCGGTTTTGCATCGATGAGCATGTGCAGTGTTCTATCGTGACTGACACGTTTATCCTTTAGTTCCCCTCCAGCTGTATCATTTTAGATGCCATGAATGACATCAAAGCCTAAGACTATGGCTGGTAATCTGAACAATACCCAGAGGGCATATCAATACGATAAGGTGTACTATCGGTGCAATCTCATTTGACAAACAAGATGGAGTCACTAGTGGAAAGCACAGTTAAGAAAACGTTACCACAGCTATTCTTACGTCAATTGCAGCTGTTATAATGACCGGCATAAACGTTTTAGCATTTGTACTTTTTAAATTAGTTTATGTGAAAATACATTGAGATGCTAATTGCATTGTCCCATGGTTTGTGGAAACAGCGGTTGGTATTCCACCACTTCCCAACGGCAAGCCCTTACAGTCTTCTCCAAATCAAAATGCGCATGTTTATCAGCATCCTTCATTCAGATGTCATCTAGATAATGTGCATCGGACGTGTTTGTTGATTACTAAACAAGTAAAGCTGGCCAATGGGCTATGGGGAAAGAGGAACTCGCACTACAGCTTAATTGTAACTAACCTTCAGATTCCACAAAAATGACCTTCTTGATGTGAACTTCAAGATTTTGTTAAAAGGAAATTCGTGTCTCGGCCAATCTCAAGTTTTGCTTCAATCACCATCTTGCAAAAGCTCTGAGTTTAACTGTATTACTAGTGGGTGGGTGTTATCATCTGCCAAACCCAACGTAAAGTTTCCTAAGTTATGCCTTTGGTGTATGCATTGTATTTGTTGACAAATATAAGAGTAAGAGAGAGATATTTTTAAATACTACACAGAATGACACACCATTAACCGCATCAGCTTTAATGAACAGATTAAAACGCAATGATGCACAAAATTGCGAACGGCCGTGCATAAAGCTGTAAATAGGTTAATGTTGTGGCCGTTTCTCGTAGATTATTTAGATAATTTGCCTGCTATAAATTTCAACATGTTGACCCACTTCGTTGAGCTATCATTTGTGGCCAGGTCACTTCTGAAAAAAAGAAGCTAAGAGCTAAGTGGATTTTACCTGGTAACATAAAAAGAGTTTAGTTTGTTTGTATTTTTTGTTTGTGATTTTCTTACCTTTTCTATACTATGCATTCCTATCGTATTTTTGTATTATTTGTTGTTGTAACATTCGAACCTGCCCCGAGTGTACAGCTATGAAAAAGAGCTGCATCGCTCATGAATATTCTGATGTTTTAAAAATCTCTCCGCAGACTGGCTGCCTCTCCCTCTGACAGCCCCTCGGAGTCAAGGCCTTCGCTCGCTGGAGGTTCAAGGCAAGCGACTCCAAACCCGGAGGCCATTCTCCTCGCAGCAGTACGGTCAGTCCCCGGCTCCTCGCGAACAACTGTATCCAGGTCGGCTCCCATTCGCACCCACTCTGAATCAACAATATGGCAGACACGCCAGGAACTTTGACGTGTTTGGGGGTCGTGGGCCATGGGAATGTAATGACGCATTCATTCGTTCGTCCGTTGAATGACACTTGATTGTGAAGCTCACGGCACACGCGTCGAATCATGCGCATAAGAATTGGCGCACATCAAGGCCTGACGTCAGCCGCGAGAGGCCACTACATTCACACCAGTGTAAAAACTAATGAATTGTTGAAGTGAATTGGGAATTTTGAATCTGAATTGTGACATTATCATTAAATGGCTGTGGTGGGTGGGGGGTTAATAGTTTCACCATTAATGTACTAGCGATGGCTGGTGATGATGAATGCCTTTACCATGTAATTTTCGAGGCAGGGTTTGGTGGATTGCGTTGGGTTTGTGAAACCTGCTGGGCTTGCGAGGTGGCCAGGAGAAGATAGGCCATAAAATGAGTTGATGGACGTGTGTGTGGATCTGGTCGTATTATCCCCTCATAGGTGTGGGCTTTCTCCAATCACTCTGATTTTCTCCGAAGAGAAAAAAAACCTGCCTACCCATCAAAATGCAGGCCTTCCTGAAAGAGAGTCTCAGTGAGTTGATGGTCTCAGCCTGGTTACCAACGATTGTATTTTTATTTAAACCTAACTTTAATTTTGGTGTCTTACTTAATCACATGTTAGATTTCATAACTTAAAATGTCGGTTTAATTCCCATGTGGTAAACACTCTTAGTAGGACGTCTAATCGTGCAACCACTAGTTTGGTCAAGAGGCCATTCGAATAGACTTCAAAGTAAGTTGTGAAATGATTTTCAAGGTGCCTTTCACGAACATTTCTCCGACACAATGACAGTTTCATTGCTGTGAGCGTTAGAAACGGAAACGTCTTTGTTTCACGACAGGATGCTGCCAGTGCCATTGAAAAAACAATCGAGGCTCTGGTCAGCGAACTGCATGGTGAAACCGGTGAACCGTTTGCCTTTTGGCGTTCTCTGGTCTGACACTTGTGAGGCTAGGCCATATAGAAGGCTGTCTCTGGTGTAGGCCAATCCTTTTAAAGACAATGCCATATATTATCAGAGCTTGTCTGTTTTCATGTTCACCACAAGTAGTTGATTCCTTGCAAAAGGTATCTATGTGGCGTTTGAACATCTTAACACCTGTTTTATTTCCAGAAAGGGTAAATCCCTATTCTTACTTTTCATTAACTGAGTTTGATTCCCGGCCATGGCAAACGTCCGTGGCGAGTGAAATCTGAACCGGTCTTGGCCACACTCTGCCCTCCTATGCCAACCTACAATGACCAGTACAGTGACGTGTGGTCAAAACAACCTCAATAGCCAACACAGCCTCTTTGTCAAACTACTGCTGGGTTCCATGGCCTCCTCACACTTTGTCAGACTATGGGCAGGGGTCAGCAAACCTGCGGCTCTGTAGCCGCGTGCGCCTCTTTCAAGAACCGCTTTGTCACGTTGTTTTTTTAAGGGTCCACCGTCTCATATTCACCACATGCATTGCGGTTCTTGAAATGCATGGGTTGCTTTTTAACCGAATTTTGAAAAAAAATAGATCTTGTTGTTGTTTTGGTTTCCGACCAAAATCAAACTCAGCTTGCCAGGGTCATAGCCCAGTGTGCTAACAACTGCGCCATCGCTCGCTCAGAGCGCAAATATACAAGTGCAAATTGCAGGGCAGTCCAACTTTCATCATTATCTACACATAGACGGCAGGACACGATGACAGACAGCTATAGGTAGCAGCAGATGCCACTAAACACCAACACAAATGAACAGCTGCTGGAATTGCAACATTGTTAGAATTGTTTAGATCATTAATGAAACGGTGAGACCACTGATTCCTCAAATTAAACGACAAAAGTGACCTGTCAAATTTTTCTTTTTATTAGAAACCTGCACTGCGCTTTAGACTATTTTCCAAATGCAGTGGCATAATAACTAGGCTCCAAAGTCAAAGACTACAGGGCCAGTGCAGAGTTTCGTTGCTTTTGTCAGGTGTTGCTTTGAAGGTAATTGAACGCCGGCAATGTTCCAAGGCCTTTGATTTGATGCATCTGGAAACACGCTCATTCCAAACGCGGCGTTTTTGCAATCCCGCAAAGCACGCTACGTAGCTTCCCGCTACACCTTCCCTCTCCCGCATCCTGCAACGTGGACCAAAGAGACCGGTCTAATAGAACGCATTAAATAACGACTCAAACAAAAAATGGATCATCAACAACGCACGCAAACTCTTTTGCTTGTGGGCTGCAATACAACGGTCGCTTGGAGGATTCTGCTTGAGCAGGGAGGAGGAGAGGAATACAAAAAATGCGCTAGCCACAGAGCAGAGACTGATTTAAGCTCCTGCTGCTGAATCGCAGAGAAAAGCAGTTTTACTTTGACACGTTGACAGGTTTTCAAAATTACACGTGTTTCCACCCCCCCCCCCTTCCCCCTGCTTTCTTCTTGCATGAGAACTTGGAGGTCACAATGCGTTGCCGCAGAATGCATATTTAATGCGCCTCTTATAATTGAAAGACAAATGTTTCACGGCCCACCCAGGCACTCGCTATGCGCTCCGTCTCATCAATCCATCGCGGGGAGAGAGGAAGCAGATTTCATTCAGAACGCAGATGAGAGGGCCGCGCAGATTTGTATCTTTAACGCACGTACATCCTTAAATAAAAGGCATTGGTAATTAATCATTGCATAGCGCTCGTGTTAATTGGTTGTTAATTGTCAATATCGAAAATTAAGGCCCATTACCCTTTTATCACTGCTGGTGGATTTCTTCATGAATGTACGTCTCGCTCGGGATACGAAGGCGGTTGGCCGTAGTGCTGGCCATCTAACCCCTCGTGTGCCTTGCCGGCCTTCATAGGTGCTGGCCAACTGCACTTTCCCCAAAAGTGTCTTAAGGCTACACGGGGATCTTTGTCCTTTGCATTAGTAAATACAGTGGGTTCCACGTACCGTGCAATCAAGTATGCATTACAACATATACACAAACATGACACACCACACTAAAAAAAAATGCATTGATTACATTGAATTAAACTATTAACTGAATCTCTGATGGAATACAGGATTGCATTTGATAAAATTTTAATATTGCATAAACAATTGTGACGTGCTGTGTTTTTTGATTCCATATTTAAAAATAATGATTGATCTTGCCATTTAGTTAAATATTAATTATTCTTGATGTATTTTTCACGAATTACAGCCTTGCTTATGTACAGTATAGCAGTAAAAGTGAGTAGCATAATGCCATATTTGAAATTGTACTGTGCAGTATTTGAATAACTATCACACCGTTTCCTTGATTTGAAATTCTACTAAAAATAAAATAGCATCCTTCAATGCAGTACCTCTTTGACGAACACGTATTTTAAAGTTGCCTCCATTTACATAACACTCGGACCAAGTCAACCAATGCATTTGCAATCAAATATTGATACACGAATTATTATAATGATTATAATCATGGTTGTGGAGTATTTCTATTATTTTGTGTTCTACTCAAGTTCATTTTGGACAGAGGTCATCATCTATTTTGGCTTGCGAGCCAGTAGTGAAATGTCCACATTTATATGCCAGGGGCCAAGTTTATCCATAGAGCAACCAGTTGGACATCCCACCAGGGCTTGAACTCGCCAACCTTTCGATTGTGAGCAGAGTTCTCGAACCGCAGTGCATCCCTTGCCTGTTCGGCCGAATGAAATCGTCACACTCAAATGCATGTCAACATTCATTACATTCCTGAGCTCAACTGTCTTTAAATTGACATCACAGGATTGCAAGGGAAAGCTCCATTTAGTTGTCCAATGCGCGTGTTCGTTTCATACGTCAGCAATCAGAGTTTATTTAAACATTCAAGGTCCTACCTATAAAATATATTGCACCACCTGCACAAGGGTTCCAAACAGGACGTGTCTTAAATAAAGTTAACTGAAATTCGAATTTGTAGTCAGGAGTTGTCACGTGCTACCCTTCGTGTGACATATGTATTGCACAGTAAACAACTTCCATACATTTGTATTAAAATTTTACTTATTATGGCACTTTTCACAAACTAGCACTCATTGACCTCGTAGCTTTAAGAAAAAAAAAACACAATGCAACTGTGATTGGTCAAATATCCAAATGTTAAAACATTGTTAAAACTCTGCTGGACCTTCCTGAAAAGAACAATATTGGGACTTGGGCTTTCCTGGGTAAACAAGCATCATGATGACAGCAATCGTGGTGATGGGGTCTGTTGGGTCTGGACTTGAGAGTTCAGTGCTTTGCTGCAGACCACTCATCCGGATGCCATTGCAAAGAAGATGTTGTGAGTGTACGTTATTGGCGTATACCTGTGCACAACATGATCTTCCGGGTGAGGCATTGTGCCACATGAATGCTTCGCGTGCGCAAGTCTAGCGCTGCTTCACGTCCGTGACACCATGACTTATGGGAGCATGTGGCCGTACAATGATCAATAAATGCCAACTCGCTGCATTGCAAAAGGACATGAGTCTTTGAAGTAAAATGTGTGTGTTTTTTTTTATTCACAATTTTTTTTTACTTTTCTCTTTCATTCATCTTCATTTCTTTCTCCTCCCGGTTGGAGTGCCAGATTCAGTTACAGATCAAAACTCGATTCCATTATCGGAGCCCTCCCCGACTGACAGAATAACAACATCTGGGCAAGAAACATTTTTGGAAACAAGGCAACCACAGGACTCTTGCCTGTGACCAATACAATACATTTATTTTACCAGCCTCGCAAAAGGCCCTGTTTGAAACTGTACGGTCGAGTAAAGTGCATGTCCTTCTCTGTCACAAGTGCTGGCTTGGCATAATTTAGTGCAAATACCATTGTAATCACTGGTGAATTGGGTTGGGACTATCACATTCAGTGCACATGGAAACATTGCTTATGGCGTGGGTATACAGAATGTCTT